TTCTTTCTGGAGCAACAAATTAGCAACAAAAGAGCACTAAATTTTTCAATATGTCCGGACCCGATTTGCGCTGGTGGGGGGTCCAGCTTAATAGGGGTCTTTTTTATTTTGATCTAATTTTTATTTTTCATCTCTATCTTAATTCTAGGCTGGATTAACTTAAAAACTGTATTAATAACAGTAATGCAGGATAAAATATTTTTTAATTTTGATCAGGTGTCCAAAATCGATTTTGACTGGGGCGGTTAAAACAACTGGTTAAAACCACACTGTCCGATTCCTGCCAACCCTGTCCTAAATATGCATATTTAACATATAGTTTATATTATAGTTTATACATAGGGTAGAATAGAGTATTATGAGCACTGCAGATATTACGAGCATCCTTTATATTTCTGTAACGGTTGGTACTAGTTGTGTCAACTGTTGTAAAAAGATGCAACTGGCTTCACGATATTCCAATATGCTGCGAAGTTTGATCTAAATTTATGTACTTCGAATATTTATCATATTAAATAATTAAGTAGATACGTTATTTTTTACTTCTTACATTTTTTGTTCTAACTTCATAAGGATTTACATTGAGATAAGATATTCTGCATATTTATCAATATTTGTAAAGTAAACAATATTGAGCCATTCACTGTTCATAAAGTCTTGAGACTATTATTGATTTATTAGACTCGAGAGTTTTTCGGATAGGTATGTATGGTCGTGTATTATGAGCATCTTCATTAGTCCTTATTGTACACTGAAAAAAAGAGTCTGGCGAGGGATCAACCACTAAAGCAATTAGTGTATATTTCTTTAGAAATATATTGCGACAGTACAGTAATAAAATTGGCAATGCTAGCAGTAGCAGTACTACCAATACGCTAACAATATGCTAGCAATACATAGAACGAGGGGCACTACTTATATTTTGAGCCTTGGCAACACTGAGTGTTGTCAGGTGCCATCGGACGTTTCCACTAGAAAGTTTGACATTTTTTACCATAACTTCCTTCAGAACGTTTTGTATTTGAACGCGATTTGTATTGTTTACAGTCACTTGAAAATTGTGTCTCAGCGAAAAAATGGAATTAACTCGTGAAAATTTTCATGCAATGATTTATTACGACTTTCGACGTGAATTATCAAGACAGGAATGCATCGATCAACTTACTTCCACTTTTGGCGATAAAGCCCCATCCTTTGCCACTGTGAAA